ATTCAACATACCCAGATCTTTGAGCGAGAACCGATTCGCTAAAGTATCAACCAGTGAGGACAGAGCAATGCTGCAACTTCCGGTGACGATGATGTCATTGACGTACACCAACAAATACAAAGTCACTTTGCCAGAGTTGTAAACAAACATTGAGGCCTCCGATGTTGAGTTGACAAACCCAATTGACATGAGAAACACCCGCAATTCAGTATACCAGGCTCGGGGTGCCTGTTTGAGCCCGTAAATTGCCTTACAAAGTCTGCAAACATGGTCTGGGTATTCTTTGTTGACGAAGCCAGCAGGTTGTGCCATAAATACCTTCTCTTGAAGAGAACCCTGTAGGAAAGTGTTGATGTCCAGCTGCCTCAAAGACCACCCTTTGCGAATAGCCAGAGTCAGGACAACGCGGATTGTGACCGGTTTAACCACGGGGATAAAGGTGTCATTGTAGTCCCACCCGGGGCGCTGGTGAAACCCCTTGGCGACCAAACGAGCCTTGTACCTGTCAATGGTGCCATCTGGAAGACGTTTGATGCGATATATCCATTTGTTGCCAACTAGATTCTGATCCGAAGCCGCAGGTACCAGTTCCCAGGTTAAGTTGTTGGTGAGCGCGTCAAACTCGAGCTGCATCGCCTTACGCCATTCAGGGTCTGTTAGGGCCTGGATTATAGTGTGGGGTTCATTGACTGACTTTAGGGAGATGTGGAGATTGAGTTTTTCAATAGGTTTGTGGATTTGATTTTGGTAACTGAGCGTTGGATAATTTTCTGGCGTTTGTTTGGATTTGCAGAAAGAGCGTGGGTACTGGTTTGAGTATGTGTGAGTGGGCCTGATGGGATAATGGGAGTAATGGGTGTAAGTGGGTCGGGAGTAGAGGTAGTTGTTGATAGTGGGGCCGGGAGTGGGCTGATAATGGGTATGCGTAGTGGGCCAGTTGTAGGTTGTGGATCACGAGCTGGTGTCTGGGATGTAGTAACAACCTCTTTGAACGGGTACATTTCCTCCACAAATCTGACATGGCGTGATGTCTAGACGCACCCAGTGGTACGGTCGAGACACAATGTAGCATGTTGATCACTGGCATAACCTATAAAAACGCATGGCACACTTTTCGGAGCAAGTTTTTGAGTAGCATAGGGCCGAAGCCAGGGATAGCATAAACACCCAAAACTTTTGAACTTATGGTAGTCTGGAATTGTGTTGAGCAATTTGGAGTAGGGTGAGGCATATTTGAGAATGGGAGTAGGGAGGCGATTGATGAGGTAGGCCGCGGTGGTCATGGCGTAGGGCCAATATTTGTGTGGGACACCGGAGTGAGTGAGCAAGGATAGGCCGGTCTCAGCAACATGACGGTTTCGTCTTTCGACAATTCCGTTGTGTTCGGGAGTATGGGGTGGGGTGGTGTGGTGGCTTATACCGTGATCACTTAAAAATGAGCGCAACCCAATAAATTCCCCTCCATTATCCGAGTATAGGATTTTGATGTTGTGTTTAAAGTAGTTTTCAACAAGCAATTTAAACTTTGGAAAAATAGAGTGAACATCCAACTTGTGTTTCATAGGATAAAGCCACATATAGCGGGTAAAGTGATCAACAAATAAGCAAAAATAGTGCATTCCATCACAAGAAACAATCGGAGAAGTCCATACATCAGTAAAGATAATTTCCAAAGGAAACGAGGAATGTAATGTTGATTCATGAAAAGGCATCTTATGGCTTTTATTAATTTGACAAGCGGAGCAACATGATTGGGAATATTTATTGGTGCCTAGATGAAATTGCTGTTGTAAAAACTTGAAGATGGACGTAGAGGGGTGTCCTAGCCGATGGTGCCACGAAGATGCTGATGAAATTTGAAGGGAATGGACCGAAAAGGAGGATTTGGGCCAAACATAGAGTCCATTGCGACATGGACTTCTATATAATACTTGGGCTGTCTCCAGATCCTTCACCAGAACAGAATCGGGTAAGAATAATATGCCAGTGTTTGTGGATTTGGTAAATTGAGAAACAGAGAGAATATTTTGCTTCATTTCAGGGACACACAACACATTCTGTTAAGACAAACCATTAAGGAAAATAGTTCTTGAGTGAGAAATTGCTAAACCTGAGCCGTTCCCCATGAACAGGGAATCGGGACCGGAGTACGGTTGGTACACGGCTAAGTTCTCCAGATCCTGGGTGACGTGGTTAGTTGTGCCGCTATCCATCAGAAACTCCGGTTGGGGAGGAGTTGTAGTGGCACTGTTCACCTGGGCGTTGGGCTACCTAGTTTGCTGTGTTGCGTGCGGAAATTGCTTCCGAAAAGCATGACATTGCGAGAGCACATGGCCTCTGATGTCGTAGAACTGGCATTTGCCAAGGAACGGCTTTGGGGCATTGCCGCGAGATCCTCCACCGGAGTTGTTGTTCTTCTGGGAACAAGAATTGGGGCGGAAATCTTGTCTGTTGGGACGCGTCTGTGCACTCAGGGCTGTCACCGGAGATGGGTTGTGGGATTGTTCCATTGCAATGGTGTATTCCTGCATCCTCAATTTCTCCAGTAAATCTTCATACGAGATGGATGAGTCGCGGGCATTGATACCTTCAATCACAGGGCAGTACGCTGCGTCGAGGCCTCTCAGGACGTGGTCAGTGAAGTCTTCCTCAGAGATCGGTTGGCCCAGGGACGCCAGTAAATTAGCGGTGACCTTCACAGAATGAAGATAGTCAGGGATGGGTAGTGAACCCTTGGTCACAGTCCGGAGGCGCGCCTGGAGTTGCTTGATGTGGCCACGAGAAGGCTTCGCGTACGCCGTTTACAACTTCATCCAGAGCTCCTTGGCAGATTTGGCGCCGGACACCAGAGAGGCGACGATTCAGTCAGAGTGGTGAGAAGCGCTCCACAGAGGAGCCTATCCTGACGCCGCCAATATTGGAATTGGGGATTTGGGCTGGTGACTGGAGGAGTGGCATCAGTGGCGACGGTTTCCAGTGGTGCGTTGAATGTGCCATCGACAAAACGAAGAAGGTTGAAGCCATCAAGCAAGGCCTCAAGTTGGTTTTTCCAGTTAAGATAATTTGTGGGTTGAAGCTTAGAAACTTCGGGAAAAGAGACACAGATGAGAGGGTTGTCTGGATCTGTGGGATTTCGAAGGAAAGTGGCGAATTCAATAGCCATCGAAAGGGTCGGATCGGCGTCTGGAAGGGAATGATGGGGTTTGATTTAGGATCGTTTATCTGATACCGTATAAAGCTTATGATACTCAAGATGCTTTATTCTGATTACCAGACTTTACATATATAGAGAATACTAAAATAAGAACGTGGAGAGAGTGTAGCTAACTGCACTCCTAAATACAAGCCACTAACTATCTTACTTGAGACTAGTTCAGACTAAATAACAGCAGTAATAATTCAAAGAGTATAACTAATTATTGCTAATACCCTTGTCCTTCCTAATAGGATTTTTTAAATAATCATTATAAAACATAAAAAAAAAAATCGTAGAAATAAATAAATAAATAAATATACAGACCTCAACCACCACCTTCCAGCACCGCCACCTCCAGTCACCGTAAAAGATTTCCAAGTTGGGGAAAAATGTCATTGTGATGAAAATTTTGAAAAGAAAGCTGAATATTTTGAAAAAGTAAAAATGTCGTATTAATGGCATTTTACACAAGATGGCATTTTTTCCTGCAATCGGAGGTGGTGGTGTTGGTAGGTGGAGGATGAGGAGGTAGTGACCTACATATTTTTTAATATTTGTTTAAGTATTTAATGTTATTTGTAAGACTTTTTAAAGCTTTTTATTTTTTATTTTTTTTAAATGTTTTCCATTTCTCCCGATTTTTATTAATTTATAATTTTTTACGATTTTTTTTTATGTTTTTATGATAAATAAAATTATGTGTTATTAATAAATAAATCTTTTAGAAATTATATGTTGGGGTACAATAGGAAGAAGAGACATATATTACTTTTATTTTGTGAATAAAAGAAGTATAATCCTAAAATGTAATTTTGGGTTATTTTAGTCTCATTTAGGGCTAATTTCCCTGAATAATATTGTAGACATGCAAATATGGTAATTCTATACACACACACACAAAATTACTATATGCAGCCCCCATCGAAACGCAAATTTAAACATCTCTATTTTGCCCTTACACTAACCTATCGACCATCTTCACTATTTCACGTTGATTGACACAATTATTACCAGATGAAAACTTCTTAAGAGATACAGATGTTTGGAGAGCTTTCTAAATTCTCTGACTCTCAATCAATGCCTCATGTGTTGGGGATTCCGCAAAAGTGTAATGTGTTGGCCACACCTCTAAATTGCAGACACATACAAAATATAAATGAATACCTTAATTGGTGAAATTCTTTTTATTGGAATTCTCTCTAGCATATACGGTTCTGCCATTTCATCATTGAGAAGTAAATCTGAATCCAGAAAGATATTTTGATTTTTCTAATTCCCCATCTAGGTTTGTATTTTGAACTTGTGATAATTAGTTATTTTATAAATACATGCCTTTATTACGAAAAAAATGCTTTTATTAGAGCAAAATAAATTTCCATTTAATTTGGATATTACAGAGTTCTTTTACTATGCAGTAATAAAATAAGAACTGTATTCTTTAAAGTTGGGATTGATTTGGTTGCTTAGATTCAAGGAATAAGAAAGTTGGGGTTGATGGCTTCGTGTTAAATTATTAGCTTATTGCTTTATTGGTGCCGATTGTGCATTACTGAATAAGAAAGTTGGGGATTAATTTTGGTTGCATAGATGTAGAAAAGGATACAATATTGATGGATAGATTTAGAAGCCGACAACAGCAAGTCCATCTGTGACCAGCGGTGGAAATAAATTACCAGACGATCAACCAAAACCCACATTAGCCCAAAAAGTTCAACCAGTGATGACGACAAATTATGAATAGGGTAAATGAGGAAATTCATTAATTTGGTGGTTGTGGAAAGAAATAAAGGGGCTGTCAATAGAAGCGGGTCTTTGTAAGGCTGTCAATAAACACCCATTCGAATATTGCGATCCATTGTAAAATCAAAATGAATACTAGCAACCAGATTAGGAGCGGGTCTTTCTTCTTCCACAGCTCATGAGTCTTGACTCTGCAAAAGATGACACTATCAAATTACGGACTTCACAAGAGAAAATCACTGGTTTAAGGTTAGTAATTTTCATCTAATACACTGTCATCTAGAGATTTCTATGTCTATCATCTTTTTGGTCATATATATGTGAATTTTGAAGTTAGAACTCTGAATAGCTGATTTTTGTATATAGATTCATGATAAATTTGTATGTTTCTAATCCTATATCCCTCAAACAATCAAGAATACTAGGACCGGTCCAGAGGGCCAGAGGCAGTTATTGGACCAGTTCGGCCAGATATTTGTCTTGGCGTCACATTCCAATTGGGCAAAGGCTCCTCCAATGCCCAAATCCCACGGCCCACGCAGTAACTCATTAAGGGTAAGCCCACCGACGGCCGAAGCCGACTAAGAGAATAAAGGACCGTCGGGGCACCGATGCGGCGACGCCACCGTTGAGCCGTCCGCCGACCGCATTTTTCTGTTCTCCAAATCGCCTGACTCTAGTTCTCTCAACAGTCTCATTCTCTTGCTCTCTGCGACTTGCCGACTTCTGCTCGTCTCTGGCTGACTGGGTGCGAGTCTGTGAGTTCAAGCCATAAGGATATAAGGATTTGAGGTAAATCCTAATTCGTAAAAGACATCTAGGAATTTTTCATATTAATAGAACTGGAACTTGGAACTACAAACTGCCCAGCAAGAGAAGTATGGGACCAGGAACAAAGTTTTAGTTTTAACACTTAAGTTTGATCAAAAGCATAAGATATTGAAAGAGAGGACTGCCAACTTTTGAAATGTTAACCTCCTAAGTGGGGAAACTAATGCATTTGAAACTTGTAAATCTTTTCAAGTCACTAAGTACTTTTTTTTCTGGTGCAAGTATATTTGTTTATTTGGGAGTGCAAAACAGGTGCAAAAAATCATTGAAAGGCATTAAGTTTCATAAAAAAAGGGTAAACTTTGGCTGTTTTTCTCTTAATTTTGTCAACCGAGCTGAGCAACCCGAAAACTGACTGATTGAATTCCATTTGGTTATTGGCTCTCTCTTCCCAAAAACCGCCAAAAGCATCCGACCAGCACCGTTCGAAACCTATCACACTGATCCGACGAACACTCCTCGTTTCTTATATCATCTTCTTTGTGTAGAACTTTGCCCACTTTAGCAACCACATAAAGTATATTGATTAGGTTGTTTACTACAAATTAGTTGCTTGGATGTTTTTTGCTTAGGTATTGTTTAACGTTGAATTAAACAGAATGAATTGACTTGGGGACCTATGAAACCATTCCTCAACCCATGGATGTGTAGGAGAGTGTGTTTGTGAATCGCTCTTTCTGTATTCCTTTTCATTACTGATTCAAGATTTGTGAAATCAAAAAATTTACACTTCCCCATAACAGTTTCTTGATTGGCATTCTTAAGCTATGTGATATATGTATATATCATTCTTCAGTGAAACTGCAGAAGGAATTCATATCTTCTTTTTTTCCAAATTTTTTTTATTTCAGTTTGGTTTTGTCAGAGTGATACTTAACACCAGTGTTATATTGTAGTGTGACTATGTTAGAGTGATCCTTATATGATTTATATCTATTCTTGCCACACATTTTTGCTCATCAACAATTTGCTTGTTTAATTTAATAAACTTTTATATGATGCTACCAGTGCTTTATAAACATTTAATTTTGACTGAATTCTAACTTGTGTTGTGTGAAATGCAGCATAAAGTTCTGAATGGCAAAAAAGAGTCTTTTACTAGGACAAAGAGGAATGGATAGTGAAAATTTGAATTTAGGGAGTAGTAAAAGTCGAATTGATGATATCAGATGGCTTTGCTCACTAAACGAGTCTGAACTTGTAAGTCTTTGCAAATCTTCAATCTCTATCGTTCACTTGGAGTGTGTGTATGCATTATTGTTTGGAAAGCTTGGTGATATGGTCTTTTCTTTTAAATGCTAGGATTTCCTAATTAGTTTGAAAGTGATGATTCTCAGAGGAGCAAAAAAAATCGGTTCCCAAGCTATAGGCAAAAATTTTGATTTAAAGTTTCTCCGCGCTCTCAGTATGTCTTATTTCGCCTTTGCTTGAAGTGACATTATTGATAATGATTTTATTAATTTTCATTCATATGAAGTTGTCTGCTAAAATTATGCAGAACTTATCTCTATCATCTAGTTTTTGTGGAAGGGTGTATAAGTTATTCCTTGGATCGATATACAACTACAGCATATGAAATGCCCCTTTGGTAGCTTGAGTTTTCCTGATATTTGACTGACTTTTATCACACACTCCATTAACTGTGCTGGCTGAATCGACCTTTAAATGGGGAAACTAATTGGTGATAGAATTGAAAGCAGTGGCACGTTAAATTCATTATTATTTTATTTTAGTGGTCCCTTAGATGATTCATCCATTTCAGCCATATTTCAATAAGTTGATCTTATATAATTACTGCAGCCATTTCAAATTAATGATACCTTACCAGCTCAAAGTTTTTTATTTTATTTTATTTTATTTCATCATGAAATTTATGTTCTCTTGTATCCTTTATACATTTTTATTATTTTTCTTTTCCTGTACAGGTTTTATTTTGATGAACAAACTTAAAGGACATCTTGAAGTCATGCCAGGTTCTATCGGGCCGTCGTCCTCGTCTTTGGATAATTGTACATTGCTAAAGTTTGATATTGACCCTAGTTTCGAAGACTTGAGTATTGAAGAGTTGGACACATATATTTGCAGTGAAAAGAGAAAGAGAGTATTTTCCGTGTAAGTTAACTGTCTTTAGTTTGAAGCACTTCAACCTGTGTTGAATCTTTCTAGTGTGCAAATATTTCAATGATTCCCTTGAAGAATTCTGTCAGCATATGAATTCAAACTTTGCGATTTATGGACTCTTTTGTAAGTTCTTGTCAAGTTTTCTTTTTTTAAATAATGCTGTCAATTTTTAACTAGTTAACCAATTTGGTTCCAGGTTGTTCGGAGACATGCCTCCCAGCCAGAAGCCAAGAACCGAGAGCTAAGAGGTGATAGTATGAGAAACATAAAATGGAACTGACAATAGAAAAAATAGAAAAAATGAAACATAACCAATTTGGTTTCATGTAAATTTCCTAAGTCGTGTAATTTCATCTATAGTAGCAACTTTAGATCCTGATGGTGTGTTCATATAGAAAAAAATCTGTTTGCTCCAGTGTGTTAGATCTGTCTGAAATTCTGAATGTAACAGTTCAATTATCAACCTAAATGTGGGAAACTAGCTTAGAATCTCACACCTCATATTGCAAATGTTACATCTTTAGTCCCATTTTACATGTCTTACTTTTCTGTTTCGGTTGTCCAAAAATAAGTCTCACCTTTTTTTGGAAAGAAATGTATGGGTTAGAACATTTTACTTTAATATACTCAAATTTCAATCATAAATTTTACTTCTTTAATTATTTTTTTAATAATTGTGTCAAACCAAAATATGACACATAAAATTGGACGACCTCTGTCTAGGCCTCTAGGGCCGCCACCGCATCACATGTTGAGTGACGAAAATATGATGTGATTCTACGACATCTAGGATAGCCTCAATAGAAAATTATTGATTATACTTTTTTCAATTTTGATGTGTAACAAGAAACTTAAGGATAGGCTTATGTGTGAAAGAAAGCAAGCCATTTGGTAACGTGAACAACTAACATAGCACTTGGCTAGTTTTGTTAGTTATTTACAAGTTATTATTTTGATTGTGCATGAAACACAAGTATGTGACACTTTGATCTAAGGCTTAAACAACTGTGAAAATAAATAGAAAACCAAGTGCGTGTTAAGGTGTCAATTCGTCTTAATAAATAATAGCCCTGAAACGCAAAAGAAATGAACTTGGAGTTAAAATAGTTGGTGCTACTTTTATTGGTTATATTAAACGTTCTTATGTATTGGTTATAATCTAAAACTTCTGCATTGATGTTAATAGTTTAATACTCCGTACTATTGTAGAATTTTTTAAAACTAATTTAATTTGTTTGAAGATGCTTTCCTGGTGAAATTTGGTGTGCCCAAAGTATAGTTTCAAGAATCGACAAATTAAACTACCTTTAGTAAAATTCCTAAACAAGAGAAAAATACGAAAAATTGACGTAAAATCGATCTCGTCACATTGATTTTGAACTAGATGAATCTAGAAAAGGAAACGGGTTACGATCACCAAGGAGTTTGGAAGTGATCTCATTACCTACAATTAATGTGATCGCATTTCCTTTATAGATGCAACAATAGCTACATTTGAAGCAATACAGTAGAAAGATACTACAAATAGTGAGATGGATTCAATTGTTCAAAATGGGATATAGGAGCTCAAGTAAAGTATTTTCCTCCAATGTGTTCCACTATTAAATGGAAATGTATTTTCAAGAATAACCTAATTAAATAAAGGAGATGAAACCATTTAAAGGCCAGATTACTGGCCAAGGGTTACAAACAAAAAATGTACACATTTTCGACAGGTTTGCTCATCTTGAGAGAATGACATCAATGATAATGCTTATAGCAAGCAGCCTTTGTGAGGGTCTTAAAATTTATCAAATGGGTGTTGAGTTGTCTTTTTTCACCGTGATCTTAAACAACAGATGTATATATATGGATTAAGATTAGTGACAAAAAGTAATGAATGAAAAGTTTGTAAATTATCAGACTTTGAAAGTGTTTTATAATGCTTAAAAATTGTATTTCAGCTTTTATCTGAAAAGTTAAAAACAATGAGTTCAAACAATTTTTGCTTAAATATATTACACACTTTAAAGTTAAAGCTTGAAGCAGGTGAATAAGTGCTTTAAATCGGGGGTTTCACCTTTTTTGTGACATAAAAGTAAATCTTTTTTGCTAAACACACAATTTTTTACTTTTAGAAATCACCTTTTTCTTATTAGACAGTACCAAACTATTAATCACTTTTCGTAGAAATCACCTTTCATTAAGTAGATCGAAGAAGTTGCAAACACTCTTTCATACAAGCTCCTAAGCTATGAAACAAAAAACGATGCTAATCAGGTTGAACAATTTAAAGCTTTCATTATGATCTCTTTTAGATGTTAGTCGAATTGTTTATTACGAATGTAAAGTTACACTGATTGATGTATGTATTGTTTCATGCAATGCATTATGGTAACATATTACTATTTGACACGAATAATGATATTATTATTTTTAGACTAAGTCATTTTTAAAAGAACATGAGTGTGATCAAAATAGCTTTGGGCTAAACTCGATCTATATCAACTATAAGACATTTTTACTACTTATTCAATTAATTAAGGAATTTGAATTTACAAATAACAGCATTGCTAAAAGAATATTTTTTTTTGACAAAAGATAACTTCATTGATATCAAAACTGAGGACCCGATACAAGTTCGCCATAACAAAGGCTACACTGGGGTGAGACTCGGAGCTGGAATCACGCTTACTAGCGGTTCATCTCGCTAACCCCGCGATATAATAGACTCCATTCATAGCAATGTTGCACCTGCTACTAAAAGGAAATACAAAAAACATAAAAGAGTTCTGAGACGACGACAAATTAAAAGAAGAACATAATCTAGTTTTTCCAGCCACTGGCAAGGAAACAACGGTTTGACCAGCCTCCGCTAAAGGTTCCTCGTGTTTCCCTCCAAATCTTCTGCTACTGGTACTGGGAATATTATTTTGTATAGATTATTTAGTTAGCCAACTTTTGTAATTAGCCTAGAGAGTTGTAGGGCTATAGTTTTCGGCCCATGTACATTGTTGTATTTATATTTCCTCATACGTAATGATATGCATGTGAATTAAGCCCTAACAACTGGTGGTGCTACCCGGACATCACCGCCACTCCCAAGTTTTTTGGAGTTGCTTCATCCACCTCCATGCTTGCGTGAGCCCCCTCCTCACTATCCTTCTTAGTGGCCCTGCGTTTTTTTGTGCTTCCTGAGTTGTAACAATCTCCTTGTCCTTTGATAGGAGTCCTTCCACCAAATAGCTCTCATGTTTGCTTGTCGTTTTGCTAAAGTCCGCTCCCTCACCCCTCATGTCTCTAGCTTATTATTGCTAGAAATAAACCACCTGTTGCCCGAATGTGATCAACCTTGCCTCGTATCGGCCCCTAACCATGACCTATAAGGCTTTTCCCCGATCCATGCACCGCCATGCAAATTAGAGGGATAGAAGCGATCAACGTGACCAAGAATCCCGTACAGCAAACAAAAATTTGGGAGTCTCTCATAGCGAAAGTTTGCCCAAATCCAACTATCTCCCTCCTGTCTGACGTGAAAGATCCTGATCAAGGCCATAGTAATATTAATAGTGACTCTGATGTGCAGTACCAACCTTTGCTTTCCGCCAAGAGAGCTCTCGTCCACTTGCACAAGTGATCCTATGCCGTTAGCTATTCCACGCGCTGTCCTTACCGTCATGTTGCTTAACGGTAAATTGTGAATCTGAACCCAAAAGTCCACATGATCCAATGGAATCTCAAGAGGTCTATCGGTACGTCCCACACGTTTAATGACCACAAGATTTTGTTCAAAAGACCAAGGCCATTCATCAACAGCTTTAGGCTCTGTTCGGCACGCCATTTCAGCTAAAAAAAGGCTGAAATATTAAAGGTTTAGTCCATTTTAATTAAAGTAGTCCTGTTTGTTTGAAAAGCTGAAACGGGCTTGATCTGAAATACTTGAGCTAAACCCAAACGTTTAGGCAGGCAACGTTTATATTCAGCCGCACCATTTCAGACTTCACATTCCCATCGTGTCCATCTCACGCAAAACCTCTCCTCCTTTTCTTCCCCAGCCGACTGCCAAGGTATGATTTTTTTTTTTTTACTTTCCCCAATTCCTTGCTGATAACACCTATTTCCTCCGTATCCAAGGTATCAATTTACGGAGTATATGTTTTCTCATTCTCCATCTGCTCTATGCTTTATTCACTGCTCAACTGGAAATAAAAAAACGAGTTTAAAGGTCACCTGCATAGCTATAAAGAATGTCATCAATGATTAAAATAATATTGTATGCAAAAAAAATTACTAGTATTTTGACAAAGGCTAAAAATACAAAAATCATTACAATAAATGTATTTTATTCTATTAATAATCATATGTCCTTTAATGTAATTTCACATTATCCCTGCATTTGTTCAGCTCTTTTTGCCAAACGGGTTAACTCCATCCAGCTAGCAATTCAGATTCAGCACTTTCAAGTTCAGTTCCAGACAATAGTCTCAATTCAGACAATAGACTCTATTTCAGACATTAGCCTCCAGTTCCAGCTTGTTGTGCCAAACATAGCCTTACTCAGATCTCCTTCATGATAAAACTGTAAGAGGAATCTAGAATCCCCAATCTCATCAATTGAAACTCCCTTGACTGGTCGCCAAACCATCATTTTTAAGGTTATATATTAAGCACATCATAGTTGATAAGTTTAATTAAAGAAAATATTATTAATTTACCGGAACTCATTGTACAAAAATAAGGTTATAATTAGATGTTTTGAGTATAAATTTTTAAACAATGACTACTAATTGTTAAAAAAGTATTTTCAACTACAGAATAAAAAATATGCAGGAGTAATTTATTTGAATGATTATTATATAAATAGTAGTTCAACGAAGGTTACTGTTAAATAATAAGTACATAATAGCCAATAAATTTCATAGTAAAAAACTATAATTAAGATAGTGAAAGTCAAAACTAGATGTTTATATTTTGACCAAATTGCAAGCTCTACAGTCAACCCACAACCTGTGCATGTTGAACCATGAAACCAATGAGTTAATCCTATATTGAAATGCAATCCACCATGAAACGAGCAAGCCCAATGAGGTTCGACTCATTTTGACATCTGTACATACAGTCAATTGAATTCTCTTTTAAACCTTGATTGGCGAATTATATAAAATCCACGGTCCCTATAAATTTAAGAAAAAATTTAAACACATATCTTACCGTGCGGTGCACGGGTAAACACACTAGTTATTTTGTATATCCATATATCATGGGTGCATACTTAAATGTTGTACCATTTTTTATTAATTTCTTTAGGTTTAGGTCTAAAATAATGAGGGTCAATTCTGCTAGATATTATATTGTTATAAGAATCGATATAGCCAATGAGTACTGGATCATACCCGTTTGGTGGTTAACGATTCGTATCGTTCTTTCAAGAGTGGTCATTTCTATGTCTAACCGTAGAGTTGATAGTGTTAGTTGGTTACAAATTGTTGTTGTCGGTATGGATGTCTTTAGTTTGATGTAACGATTCAAACTCTAATGATATTAATATAAGTAGTTTTTCTTTCAAAAAAATATACAAGAGATCCAAATGTTGATTAGTACTTTAGGCAACGTCGAAGTGTTATACCGCATAACTAAAATGGATTAATTAGTCTTAATTCATCTTAGATTTAGAGATCAAAATCATAGACGGTAACATGGGCGGAGCTAGGGGTGGACCAACCTAGGTCTTGGCCCACTCCAAATTTTAAAAATACCTTAATTTTTAGTGTAAAAAAATTTGTTTTAAATTTTTACCAAAAATATTCTTTGTACCGGCCCCGTGCGGCCCAGTGCTCTGGCTCCGCCCCTGGACGGTAAAAAGAAACATAATTTCTAAACAATAACTACTTGGAAAATTATAAAACATTGAATATTTGTTTAAACAAATACTCCATGATTATATCACATATGCGTTTAAACCTCTTAACAAATCAAACGTTTAAAAATATACCATTCATTTTCATTTTCATTTACCCCACTGTCGCAAAGGGTCGAATGTACGCAGTCTTACCCCTATACTGAAGCACAGAGAGAATGTTTCCGGATGACCCATAGTGAAAATCGCATCCAAAATTTCATGGAATGACTGGTGCTTCATAACAAAGAAGCGCAAACAGTTTAGTGAGCCATTTTACTTTATTCCATCATATTTTCAAGCCAAAAAATAATAAATCTTTGGCTCCATTGCAAATGATGAAAAATTTAAACATATACCATTATTAAATTAAAAATAAAACTTGAACATAAATTAAATTTAAATACTGTAATATTTTTTCAACTCTATCTAAGCTGAACTCGAGCTCCGCCTGCATCATACTGTAGTCTAAACTTTGCAATGGAGAGGGGTATCATTTTTTAAAAATGCTACTTATACAGTTATACACGCCGGTTTACACACTTGTCTACACGTCAAGTGTATTTTGTCGGTGCACAGACAATTAATTTTCATTTTAGCTAACGAAAGCAATTGTGTGTGACCTCTAATCATTTGTGCAGACTGCAATTCGTTTCACATTTCTGGAGTCACAAACAATTTCCTTCATTAGACAAATTAAAGTGAAAATGAATTGCCAATGCACAGACAAAATACACTTGACGTGTAATTGGTGTAAACAGGCGTGTAATTAATCCGGTACAAGTAGCACTTTTTTTAATCATTTTTCCACATCCAAATCCTTATTTCACATTCAAATTTAAAAACTGACATTCAGTGAAAAGATTGAACCCATGCATCTACATAGACTCAACAGAGTTTGTGTTGACCCGGCTGCAAACGTCGCGAATTTCGAACTGCCCGGCGGAGGAGCGCGGCAAGTTGCTCATCTTGACCATGGCGGCGGCGAAGTCGGCGAGGAATGCGCCGGTGACATCCCTGTACCTCGTCACGGCGGAGACAGTTGTGTTGCTGCGCATCAGCTCTGAGTCGGAAAACAGAAGCCCTTGACCTCTGCCTAACTGCTCATAGTATCTCTGGTCGAAGGTTGTGGGTGTGGGGTCCAGGCCAACCACGGCGGTTCCGGTGGAGGTACAGTTGCATTGCAGGGTGGCGGTTCTGTTGGGGTTGAGATTACCGCTCTGGCACAAAAGAGCACACCGGGAAACTCCAATCGTGTGTGCTCCGGCGAGGGCCACCATCTCTCTCTGGGTGAAGTTTTTATCCGCAAACTTCTGGATTTGGACGGTGAGGTTGTCGAACGGCGCCGGAAGTTGGGTGTTAGCTCCGGTTAAATTCGCCGTCCGTGCATCACGCCTACCTAAGGTTACGTTGTAGGTTTGATTTGTAAACTGTTACACCACAGCCAATACACCAAAAATTAGGACCCACACAAAACTGTTACACCACAGCCAATCACTCCTTACACAAAAGCAGGTATCCCAATTACTCCGTAGTTTTCAATACTTACTTTATTTTAATAAATAAAGCAAGTATCCCTAGTATCCCAATATTATAAATTATTAATATTAATTTTATTTATTACAAATTTTATACGTATTCTCTTCATTCCAGCTAAAAATTCTCGCTCGATTTATGATGTTTGACTGACTATGAAATTAACCGATCACTGTCAATAATAAAATTCATTATAGTAAATACAATTTACATATTAAAAATAACATTAAAAAAATTTAGAATTTGCAAAAAAATTAAAATTGATAAAAGTTGGATATAAAGTAAAAAATTAATAACAATTTAAGATGATAGTGGACCAAACATTTACGTGAGTCAAATGTAGTACGGAGTATATACTTCCTATTATGCGGTATTAAATTTTGAAGAAAAAGTCAAACCAAAAAGTTATTTGTCCGTTTTTTTACACATTCAATTTGGTATTACAAATTATTACTTGTGATATACCGAGTATATATTACCTCTGTTCTTTTTTAATTGCAACATTAGAATTTTTGCATTATTCACATATTCTATTTTGACTAAATTTTATTGATTAATGTATTATAAATTCAATTTTAAAAAAAAATATTGTTAAATTCTTCTCATTTTAAATATTCAAAATATGAATTTTGTAAATTTTTTACTAATAAGGAATGAAAAATATTAATGATCAAATCAACCCTTTTATTATTTCTAATCCGCCACTTAAACCTTTGAACTAAAAAAGTATGATATAAGTTCATCTACTTTTAAAATACAATCGACCAAGCCCTTTGACTTGCTATAGCTGGTTATTTTTTAAAAAATTAAATTAGAAATATTGATAAATCTTACAAAAATTCATATCAATTTGATTAAACTTGGGAGAAAAGTCACTAGCTATGAAGTTAAAAGTCAATAAATTAGGGAGATAAATAAAACTTGGGAGAAAAGAACTTAAAAAAGAGATGGAATAGGTAGATTTACTTTGGCATAGGAATCACGAGCTGCAAGAGCCAAGACATCGGCACAAGAAACGGGCGTGTCGGAGCACTTAGTTTTGGCGTTCTGTTTGGCTTGCTCGATCACGCTGAACCCTCTCACTGAGCCATTGTTCGGCGCTGCACCCTGTTCCCCTGTGAAGCTTGCGGTGTCGTTCAGCAAGATCCCACCGTCACATCCCTGAATATCCATCAATGTAGAATTAATACTCCCTTCGTAACATATATATGTTCCCATTTGAAAAGTATGTAGATTAACTGATTAAGAATAGTGAAAGGAGATATTAATTATTGAGGGTATGATGGGAAGATAGTGAAATAATGTGATGGAATGAAGGATAAATAAAAAAAAAGTAGGTGTAATAGTGTATTATTTTTAAAATTATTGGGGGTATGATGGGAAGATTTAGAAATGAGAAGATATGAATGTTACATCCAAAAAAAGAAAGTTGGAAGATATGAATGTTACGAAGGGAGTACAAATTAAATAACGAACTCGTTTGGTGACTTTGTTTTTGACTTGTCTTATACGCAAACTTTTTCACTAAACATGTACTAGTAATTTTTAATTTCGTTGTTTAAGATGTGTAATAATCCAAATAAGTAAGGCTGATGTTACTTTTCTGACTACATTGACTGAAATTACTGTAAAAGACCATTTTAGTTATTTCTTCAAATAAATTTTTCTTTATTTTATTAATAAAATATATTTTAAATATAATTTTTCCATATATCAGCAGAATCACTATCCAGACACTTTAGCTAGAATATCATACATTTCAACCGAGTTGAATTTCAATATTATTTGTTGTGATGTCACAATGGCTCAACATATACAAGCCATTCTTATGACCTTAGGATGGATAATCCAAATTTGGGCTTTTCATCCCAAAAATCATTACAAACCTATGTATATGGCTTATGCTTAGTGCAATTTTGTTCGCCTCCTAGTGCAATTTTGTTCACCTCCTAGTGCAATTTTGTTCACCTCCTCTTTAGAGGGTGAACATCACTCCCTTAGCTCAAATGTTGTAATTTGACATTCCATCTTTTTTTTAAATTACAATAACTTTTTTTATTTGTTGTTTAACTTTTATAAAAAATATATCAGATTTAATAATTTTTTAAGATCTTTCTAATAGTATCAATATTGTATATAAAAAAATAAAAAAATGTGCAATATTGATATTATTTTTAAAATTATTGATATTAAAAATGTTTCTACATATTCATTTTTAGTTTAAAATTTTTATATGCAATATTGATATTATATGAAAGATTGTAAAAAAATAAAAAAATGTGATATATTTTTTAAAAATTTTGAATTAAAAAATAAAAAGTTAAAACAATTGCAATATTATTACTAATTGCATTGCACTCCATTCACTCCCCCATTTGCTCTGCACGTTGGAAGAATTGAGGAACGAGTGAAATTGAAGCAGCCATATGATACGGGCCCATTCAATAATAATATCCCATTTTTATTCAAAGTGTTATACGGAGTATAAAATATATACCAAAATTATAACTTTTTATAATCTTTAATATGACATCAATATTGCATATTAAAAGTTAAAAAACATATACTCCCTCCGTCCCAATTTGATGATCTCATTTCTTTTGGGCTCAAATATTAAGAAAGTGGTTGAAAAGGTAAAAGTTGTGGTTGAGATTTGAGTATAAAAAGGTGAAATGATGTGGACCACATATTTCTTTCCAGAAAAGGAAATGGGACTATCAATTTGGGACGGCCCAGAAAGGAAATACGGGATCATCAAATTGGGACGGAGAGAGTATATGAAAATTCAATTGCTAAAAGTTTTCACACCCAGATTTTTCTTAAATAGACTGAGGTGCTAAAATTAAGATCTCATCATTAAAATATTTTTTTTACATCTTTCAGTATTTTTTCAAAATTGATTCTGAATATATTGACGGTGCTGGATTGCAGTAAAATCTGAATTAACTTAGTGAATGCGTATAAACTGATGGAAAATTTAATTTATTGGCGGATGTGGGTTGCGGTTAACCTTTTTTTGGAAGAAATATGCTTAAATTGATAACACATAATTCAGATTATGAGTAATCCGACAAAAAGATTCCTAACAACCGATGTCCCGCGAACCAGACTCGGAATTAATCACCCGCAACGAAACAATATAATTCGTTGATCTATTAATGGGCACAAAAGAGCCAAAGACGATTACCGCAATGCTCTCATCACCCACATTCAAACCCAACATTTTACAAGCAGGAAAAACAACTACGAAAAAAGAACACAACGGAACAATGTATTTCTTTCAATCTTTCCCATCTCCATCCTACTAGAATATTGCATCATCTTTACTTTAATAGAGGATAAAGACACTAATATAACTTAGGGGTGTTTGAATCTGCTTTTGAAAACTGCTTCTGCTACTTCAGGGAGCAGAGGTAGATATGTTTGGGTGAAAGTACAGAAGTAGTTCTGATGCTCCAAATAACTGTTAAAAACAATTTATTTCTGCGTGTTTCTGAAAAAGTAATTCTAATTCTGCTTTTAAAATAGAAGGAGAAGCAGAATCAATTCCAAAAACTTGATGCTTTGACACTTTATAGTGTATACAAAAATTATTGACATTGCAAATGTTCAGGATAACAAGCTAAACAGTTCAGGTCTTAATACTCATATTCTAAAACCAGAAACAATAAATGTAAAATTTATTCTTTCCATTTTAAATAGATAAGTAGGATATAATGATACATAGCTGGCAGGTACTGTTGAAATGAGAAAAGTAAACTCGAGTGTGACATGCACTAAATGGTTAAACACATCCTCTGTTAGGTAGTTCAGTCGTAGGTCCTGTACCATCCTTTATTGCTTTTTACCCCTTCAGTATTTTTATTTAACTCCAGGGCGGTCAGGGGAGGGGCTAGAGGCATGGGATTGAAGTAATCAGGGCCGCCGAAATTCACTTAATTCGTATGTGCGTAAAGGGATTTGACTTTGAATCTGAGCTGGAATGCTTGGTTAACCCCTTCAGTAAATTAAATTAGAGAAATGAGGTACTTCAAAATAGGGGTGGACTCGGGCCGGGCGGCCCGACCCGGAACCGGCCCGGCCCGGTTATTGTTTGGCCCCGCCCGGCCCGGGGCCCGGTGGGTCAATCGGTTCGGTTTGGCCCGGCCCGGGTGATGGGCGGTCCGGGCTCGGGCCCTGCTTTAGGTGAACCGGCCCGGCCGGTTCGGGCCCGGTCCGGGCCGGATTTTATTTTTATTTTTATTTTTTTTTTGAAATTTTTTTAAGTTTTGTGTTGGATTAGGTATTTTGGGCCATTTGAGGTGGTTTAGGGTGGTTTGGGGTTGAGGGGGAGGGGTAGGGGGTTAAATAGGAGAACCAAAATCAAAAAAAAAATAGGGACCCGGTTTGGCCCGGCCCGGTTTGGCCCGGAACCGGAACCGGCCACCGGCGGTTCAGGCTCGGGCCCTAGTTTTCTAGCCTGAGGCCCGGCCGGGCCCAGGCCCGAACCGGGCCCGAATCCAGCCCTACTTCAAAATGGGGGACCCCATTCTTGCCCCATACCACTTAAATGTCTTGTCCCATTTATGGTCACATTAGACGGGATAAGAATGGGTACCCATTTTGGGGTACTTTTAGCTTTTCTCATTAGATTAAATTAAATAGTACGTATGTATTTTGCTCCTTGATCATTTCCTAAAATGATCATGTCTGCACGTTGAGTTTTTAGGTCTGATCATTTTTTGACTTTAGAAATATTACCACCGTCTCAATTTAATTAGTGATCATTGACTTTTACAATCAAAGAGGGTAGATTTGACTAATTATTTAGTGGATATATTTATGAAAAATTCTATATCATTTTTATATTATCCATATTTATATATATAAATATATAATCGATCAAAATTAGACATAATTTAACGAGTTGATTGTGATATGAGCACATTTACTTTTACCTTTCAATATCCAATAACATCTACAAAAGCAAATAGAGAATCAAATTACTCCATATAAAACAAATGGATTATTAGAGGCCGTTTGATAACATCATTTTTCGGCTTATCAGCCAACATTTTCACCAAACACGTAATTTTTGCTTTCGTGCGCTGAATTGTGTAATAAGCAGAAAAAGTAAGGTTGGAGTTATTTTTCTAGCTGTATTGGCTGAAGTTACTGTAAATGATCATTTTAGCTATTTTTACATATAATTTTTTCTTTGTTTTATTAATAAAATATATTTTAAAAATATTTTTTTCTTAAATTAGCAGAATCAGCCAATGCAGCCACTTCAGCCAGAACTTCATAAATTTCAGCAGAACTAGTCAATTCAGCCAAAACGGGCCGTTAAATGCTCCGTAAGCTATGATACATTTTTATATACTTTTTTGATACATTTGTTTTTAATTATCCCATATCCCATGTTTGTTGGATGATAAAACATTGTCTTATCCCGACTCAAAAAACACGTGGTATGTATTAATGTGCACAATAGAGGTACATCTACAAGACTACAATTGTTCCTTGTTGAAATAAAAATAAATAAAAACACCAAAATATCCCTCTGAAATTAATATGGCCTTATTCCAAACTTAAAAGAATAGGGTAGTGTATATTATGTTTTATAAAATGGTCTTTCCTTTGAATATGGTTAAATTGAGACCCATTTTTTAAAAAAGTGACTACTTTTACTTATAGATAAAAATGTGACTAACAAGTAACAAGTACAAGTACACGGTGGTACCGAGTATATTTTAATTGTTACAAACAGTCAGAAAAATTTACAGAACTATAGGTTATATTATTTGTGTCCATTTTCATTTAAAAAATCGAGAAAATATACGTAGTATATAAATTCAATTGTCCCCTGACTCTCCTCTCTTTCTTTCCATAATCTAAATATTTAATCCTTGTTTATATACGTAGTGCCCCGTATATAAAAGGATGGATTACGTCGTTTTTTTTGAATCATTACGTCGTTTTTGTGAATAACTATCGTAGTTTAACACAAAAAAACTATCGTTGTTAGAAAACTAAAAGTGGCTATTTTATACCATAAAAAAGTGGCTATTGTATTGTTTGCTATAATTAGCTTTAATTGAGATTCAAGTAATAGAAAATCTATAGATCCCCAATTCGGGCAAATATAAATAATACGTACGTCTACAAAGCAGTCGTGGAAATGGAGACGGATGAGGGAAGCGCCCATGCGAGCCTCCGCGTCTATGGCGGCGTCCACGACTTCTTTCACGGCGGCAAAGACACAAGCTTCGGTGGAAAGCCTGCCGGAGGATTCGCCAAACTCTATGTAAGACAATGCTTGGTCGTCTGCGGCGGCTGATAGTGTGTTCTGGTGAACAGAGGTGCCAGCTAGGAAGCTCAAGATCAGTATCAGTCGTGACACGTAGGGAGCCACCATGACCGGAAAATGGAACGGTGAATGAAGAGGAAATTGGTAGGAAGAAAAAGAAGGCTGAGGATTAATGGCTTGACTGAAATGGTGGTTAAATAGGAAAAAATCTACATTTGCTAAACCATTTTTTATTATGACTCCGTATTAGTTAGGTGTAATTAGGGTTGTATACGAATCAAATAATTTATACTCGATTCGGGATTCGAATTCGTATAAGATGATTCGAATTCGAAAAATTCAAATACAAATACAAATAAGAATACTAAAATTGATTCGAATTATTATCAAATACAAATACAAATATCAGTATATTCGATTCGAATATTAATCAAATATATTCGATTAATAATAGTGATAACATTAATAATAATAGTAATAATAGTAGTAACAGCACTACAATAACTTTTAAAAACTAGCTTTACCCTCAAAGTGTAGCCCATATATATACATTTGCGTATACACCTTCCTAGTCAATTTATCATAAATCAGAAGTATCATAAGGAGAAAAGGTTGCAAAGGAAACAAACAATTTTTTTTTACACATTAATGTTAGTGTTTATTTCAAACCTAGCTTTGAATATATTTATTTATAGTAATAATTATAAAACTGATTCGCTTAAATACATTGTGCACAACCTAAAAATGCGTCGATCCATTAAACTTTAATGAAAAATGTAATATTACAGATTAAATTATAAAAACACACTTTTATATGTGCTTTTAGAATATGTGTTTTAAAGTGATATTTGACTAAAACTTAACTTATGATCAAATCGGTTCGATATTCGTATATGATTCGTTAAGTATTCGTATTGTTAAACAAATACAAATACAAATCGAAAATAATATTCGTTTCATATTTGAATTCGGATTCGTATTCGGAAAAATTAAACAAATACAAATACAAAATCACATTATTCGAGCCGATTCGATTCGTATACAACCCTAGGTGTAATCCTTCTCTATTTAATTTTCTTTTCGATATACATTGGGCGGAAGAGATTTTCTTCGAAGTAGTACGTAGACAATAAGACAAAAAACTCGTGGAAAAGTAAGAAATTTAAAGTAAGACTGAGTACTTTTAATAAATAAAGAAAATTCACAATTGAGAGTCCGTTTGGTAGCATCAAAATCGGTTGATTTGGCTGATTCTGTTGAAATTTATGAAGTTCTGGTTGAAGTGACTGCGTTGGCTGATTCGACTGATTTAAGAAAAAAATATTTTTAAAATATATTTTATTAATAAAATAAAGAAAAAATTATACGTTGATGGAGTATATGGCCCAGGAACCCCCGGCCCACAGACTCCCACTTCTCCTACACAAGTCCGTTGGGCTCAGGGAACAACTCAGGCCCAAATACAACTGCCCAAGCCTCAAAGTAGCCCAGAATACACGCTGGGGTGCCTTCGGCCTCCTTGGCCGAAGGCTCCAAAACTCACAGAATAGCCTTCTCTGGCATAAGAAGCTACCGGGAGAAAACGGCGAAAAACATGAGCCTTCGGTACTGCGGAGCCCTCGGCACCAGGAGGCCCTCGGCATCAGAGCCTTCGGCTACGCCAGGAGCCTTCGGCTACACAGGGGTCCTGGTCGCATGGAGCCCCCGGCTACGCCAGGAGCCTTCGGCTAAACATGCTCAATCATCGAAGATTCCTTTTGGAGACAGCCAACCACCGCATTTAATGCCACGTCACATCCGCCAGCCGCATTCAATGCGGTAAACGTACCACTGCCGGTGCCAACTGGCTGATGTGACCCTTCGGCCGTTGGATTGCTGACACGTGTACTCTCATCGCATTTATTGCTGCTATAAATAGCAGCCCATTTCTCCTTGTAATCGACACAATCTACATCCCAACTCCACATCTCGAGTTCATTTAATAAAATCGACTCTCTCTCCTCCTATTTACTCTGACTTCTCTCTAGTTATTTCCGCAATAACCCCTCGGATAAGATACCCCCCGGGTGGACTGTCCATCATACGTAGTATGTAAAAATAGCTAAAATAATCATCTACATAAACTTCAGCCAATACAGCCAGAAAAGTAACTTCAACCTTACTTTTTCTGTTTATTACACAATTCAGCGCGCGAAAGCAAAAGTTACGTGTTTGGTGAAAAAGTTGGCTGATAAGCTTGATAAGCCGAAAAATAGTGTTGTCAAATGGCCTCTGAGTGTGCGTTTTAATTAGGTATATAGTCTTGTACCTATTACGATGTTTAAATTTAATTGGATCTAGTCTTGCCTATCTAATATAATCTGGTCTTGCGTTACAAAAAAACTTGATACTGGGAGATTTTTTTGTAAGAATCACCAAATTTATAGAGGATTTGCACGAATGTGTCAAATTTGTGCCTAAAACATTCTCACACGAGCAATTTGGCACAAAATTATTGGTCAATTCGCGCAATTCTGTGTCAATCCCACAATTATATGGTCCGCTGAATATCTATTTTATATGTATTTAGAACTAACGAAATCTAGTGTGGTCATATTTATTCTTATCTGATCTGTTTGAGTTTAGTTTGATTTGGGACGGAACATTAATTATATCGTACATCCGGTTGTACCATGCACACGACACAATCGAACTTTTCCTACCCGTTGCATTTCTCTTCGCTTACTTCTTCGATCACATTCGCACTAGGCTTGCAGCTCGTCACCACCACTCACCACTTGCAATGATCTTTTCTCCTACGGTACGAACACATCACCTCCCAAAGGCGGCGGCTCCTGGGATCATTGTTGGTCGTTGTTGTGAGAAGAAGAAGTATGGGAGATGACCAATTGAGCCACCGGCCGGTGATTGATGATTCCTAGTTCGGCAACAGGCCTAAAGTCAGAGACTGAGTTTGAGTTCGTGATGTTGCTGATTGAGCTTGTGATTTTCGGAGACAAGGAGAGTCTACTTCGTTGTTTAGGAATCCTTGTTGTTATTGATCTCAAATGAGTTTTATACTAAACTCAAATGAGTATACGCCTAAAATGAATGAACATACTCAAATGAGCTTTTGAAATTTTGATACATATTTTGTAAGTTATATATGTTCATTTGGTACCGGTTTTATGCTTATTATAAAATGTTGCATATTTCAAATGTATTTTACTACATTAGATTCGCGTATTGAAATTAGTTGAAATTGATTATACACATAATTTAAGAATTTTTTAATAAGGAAAACATAATAAAAATAAAATGAATAAAAAGAATTGAAGGAAGATCACGATGCTCATGTTAGGAATTAATTTACGCAACACGAAGAACAATTAAAGAACACACAAAATTTGGTAACCCAGTTCGCCATGAATGACTACGTCTGGGGGCGCTACCAAGCCAGAAATATTATTGTTATTTTCGGATCCAAGAGATCACAAAGGGAAAGAGCTTGTATTTATAGAGAGTAAAATCTACCTCTAAGCCAACTACGAGGCTCGGCCAAAAATAAAGAAAAATAATTCGTACAGCCCAACTGTACGAAATCCGTACGGCCCATCTGTACGGAATTGTACGGAAAACTTGTTCGTCAAAAAAGGACCAAAAATTTCAGATCGACAGATAGGGCTTGGTTATACACAAGGTTGTTAACATCTAGATTTAAATCGTAAAATCGTACGACTTTACGATTCTACATTAATAAAGCAATTCAAATCGCAGGTAAAACCGTAAAATCATAAAATCGTACAAAATCGTAAAAAAACGTCCTAAAATCGTGTAGAATCGTATAAAATCCTAGCAAAATCGTAGCAAAATCGTAATAAGTTGTTTTTGGTGAAAATGGTTCAATTTTATTAAAATTAACAACTACAAATTGATACATAATTCCAATAATAATAATATGAATCGTTTATTTATAAAAGTAATGGATTCTTGTGTTACTTGATTATTTATATGTTTTACATATGTTTAATGTTATTATTCAATACATTTACATTATAAAAACAATTTATAAATCTTGCTTTTAACATTTTAGGTATAGTTTTATGTAATGAAATGATATAATATCATTAACTTGCAACTAAATTTTAATATTTATTTATTTTATAATTATTAAAATATGTTTGGTAAAATCTTACGATTTGCGATTCGATTTTTAAAAACATCTACCGATTCGATTCAAAAATACGATTTTAACAACCTTGGTTATACAGTCTCTAACACCTTACAGCTCATTATTAGACTCCTAATAACAAAAAGAACAGACTTGATGCTCACCAAAAGAGCATTAATGCTCATTTATGAGAAATCGTGATTTTCATCAAAATTACGAAATGACATCAGTTTATATGGTGCCATCCGTACAACTGGTGGTACCATATAGGCTTCCTGAACGGAAACAATCCAACTCAAAATTCAAAATATTTGAATGTACAAACATTGCCTTTAATGACATGTACAAGGGCAAATGTTTTTAAATTTTTTATTTCCTTACAAGTGAATAAACTCTAAACAAGTGTTGGGTAGATGGTGCCATACGGAGTACTTACCTATGTTTAATTTAGGATGTTTTCTTTTGGACTGTTTTGAATCTCAGACTAGACCAGACTTGATTTTCATAATTATAAAATACACAGAGACCAGAACTTTACCAGACCAGTTCAGATCAGATCGGACCAGACCAGACCAGACCAGCAAATTTCAATCCAAAAGAAAACATCCTTATTTCAACTACTATCAACCATTTCACAAAACAATCCTAGATTTAGCGATCGAAATCTAGATCGATGTACAAAACAAATCGAGATTTACCTACTTTAGCGAAGAATTGTGATCACCACGCGTCCTGCCATTCTACAAATTAATGCTTATAAAAATGATGATCCAAGTCTATGTGTCCTTGTATTCTTTACTACGGAGTAATAGTTTGTCGGTTTATATTTAATAAGCGGACATTACACATCTTTCTAATAATTTGTTAGGCTTTAGTCCGATCAAACTCGACTTAGATTATATCAAATCGTATCAAATGAAATTAAGTTTACACATTAGTAAAATACGCATGAATCAGACCAAATTGGAATAAAACAAACCAAACGACTATAATATTTCAGTCCACTCTCAAAGATCCTACATCTAAATCGGAAGACTTTCAATAATTAACATTCTAATCTACTTTTAAATCTTTAATAAATTCAATGAAA